CGCAGCTTGGCCAGCGTGAACACGATAGCGTGCCCCTTAACCCCTGTCCCAGCACCCAGCACATCCTTGCATGGGTCTGTCACGATGAGCCTGAACCCGGCCATGTTTTCTCCTCTTCAGGAACAGAACGAGAGAGAGAGGTGTGATGGATGTGCTGGGAGGCACAAGGAGCTCCGATGTGCGGCGAGGGGCACACCTGGAGGGGATGTGCTGTGACCCCGCAGTCGGGGTGGGTCCTCCCAGGTTTGTTTAGCACACAGGGTCTCTCTTGGGAAGCTGCTTGAACCTGAGCACAGCGCTTGTGTCAACTGCCCGCAGCCTATGGCTGTTCCTCACCCAGGTTTGTGTCTGGTTCATGTCCCATGAGTGCACCCACGTCTCTGGTGTCACCATGGCATCCCAGGATGTCCTATTCCATCCCCATCCCAGCCTCAGAGTTTCATTTCAGGGAACTGTGTTGCCAGTGCCACCACCCCCTTATCCATTAGCAGATTAGCAGTTGTGTCAACTGCCCGCAGCCTATGGCTGTTCCTCACCCAGGTTTGTGTCTGGTTCATGTCCCATGAGTGCACCCACGTCTCTGGTGTCACCATGGCATCCCAGGATGTCCTATTCCATCCCCATCCCAGCCTCAGAGTTTCATTTCAGGGAACTGTGTTGCCAGTGCCACCACCCCCTTATCCATTAGCAGATTAGCAGGGAGAACTGTGTTGCCAGTGCCCTTATCCATTAGCAGATTAGCAGGGGCTGGATTTCCCACCCGAGCACTCCGCAGTCTGTCCTGTTGTATTTATTTTGTTCAGGCTGCTTTTCCCAGGCCTTGACAGTGTAATTTGTACAGATCTGTGCTGAGTTTTCTAAACTCTCAAATGAGCTTTCGTGTTCGCGCGAAGCCCGAGCTGTTGGTAGTAGAGGCACTCAGCAAGAGAAGGGTGAGAAGCAAGCAGCATGTCTGCTGTCCAGGAAGGCTTCCTTGCCTCCAGAGGGGCTCCCTGGCAAAAACTCCATGGTTCAGAGATTTTAATTAGATCTAATTCTCCAGGTGACCAGCCAACCATTAAAAGGCATACCAATTTTTCAGTTGCATTCCTTGCTGTAGAGTTTTTATCACTTATTTTAGATAGATGTGACAAAAGAACTCGGATACCCCAAACTTCATGTTTCCCTTGAACGGCACCAAGAGGTCTCTGGCCTAGGAGATTCTCCTCTCAGCGCAGTTATTCTCGGGAAAGTGCCAGCTTGTTCTGCTCTAACTCTGCTCTCCCTTGCCCAGAGTGACTTGCCTGTGAGATTCGGTCGGGTTTTCGGATCAGAAGTTGTGTTTTCTGAGTGTCAGCATTGCCAGCTCCTCCTTGGGGTCTGGAATTGGGGCTGTGGTTTCCTTGCCTCATTCGCCCACTCACCGAGCCCCGGCGTTGGAAACGTGCCGCCGGTGTGGCTGATGTTCGCCGGGCAGAGCCGAGTTGCCGCGCTGTGCCTTCCCCCAGCACAGCTCCTGGCAGGAACAAACCCTCTGCGGGTGCCTGCATGGACCCTGCTATGAAAATCTCTCCTGCAGGAGGATCCTGAACCCCTGGGTTCGTTCTTCCCTCCTCCTGCCCTGTCCTGCAGGTCACAGTTGTCCCCTTCCTCAGCAGGGTTCCCGCGCTGTGGCCCTGCCTGGGTCCCTGCTGCCACGGCAGGTG